CATACTAAAAATGCGAGAGAGATTGTATCAGTGCAATGTCTATTGATTAATTTTTCTTTAAGTCATAGAACGACTAAGTGATTATAAATTCGTCATTTACTGAACTACATCGAAGTCATTTCTTTTTCCTTCGGTGCTATAACCCTAATTTGGCCTTGGCCTACCTCCATAAAACTCTCCGTTTCACTTAGGTTTACTAGATCTTAGACAGTCGGTAGGACTCCTTGGGGGGGGGGTAATCAGCTCGTCGCAAGCCCTCTACCTGTACACAATGGTAGAAAAAAGCACACACACACACACACACACACACACACACCAAACATCCACGCCCTGATTGGGATTCGAAGCCACGATCCCAGCTTCCGAGCGAGCGAATACAGTTCATACCTTAGACCTCTCGGCTGCCGTGGCTGGCACATTGAAGTCATATCCCTGTGAAAAAATGAGGCGATGTTTGTTTAATTTTAATGAAGTGAAAAGTAAAGAATTTGATCTGTCGTCAGTAATTCCTTAAATATATATTTACTTTCACAAAACTGTTAAAGCCTTCGTTATACTTGTTACTATGTTCCTTCCTTAATTCCAGTAAGTCTTGTGGACAATATGGAATAGGGATCTTTTTTATTGCTAGTGGGGTGGGACTAAGTCCATTGTACTGAAGCCACTTCTGGCCTATTGTACCAGCCCCAGATGATAGGTGAGGGTGATTGTGGAGGAATTGGTGGAATGAAGATTGGCAGGGGAAGCTGAAGTACTCGGAGAAAACCTGCCCAGGCGCCACTTTGTCCACCACAGATCCCACTTGACCAGACCCGGGATCGAAACCGGGCCACCGCGGTGGGAAGCCAGCGACTAACCTCTTGAGCTATGGCGCGGCCGTGGAATAGGGATACTACACAGCACTTACGCATTAGAGTTTTACTTTCAAGGCACATGTATTTAATAATGTGTACACAGCATAGGTTAAATAGTATTGTTACGCAAGAAGGGTTAGTGAGAATGATAATAATAAGTTCAAGATTTGATGATTGAATTTATTGAACACTTCTTCACAAATACAATCAATTACAGCGCTGTCACTAATCTTCATAATTCACTAGGACAGGTTTCATTCTCGTCCTTGTACTCTCAGCTTCTCCTAGCTAAGTCTGAGTCTGAGTTTTATGTTACGACCGACGGTCAGTCGGCCAGTCTGGCTTGGAATGCAGCATCCATCTGGGGCTTGCGAGCATATTTCTGTTACTGTCAGGCATTTACGAATTTGTTGATGTGGAGCGCTCTCTCTCTGACGAGAGGATGGTGCCTGTCGTTTACAATTGCTTCTGATCCTCGTCAGCGCATTCTCGGGTCCGAGTCCCGTGGGACTCGCGACCATATTTTTCTCTCTCAGATTCGATACTTCCCTTTTCGTCGCCTCATACGACTCGAAGGGTCACGGTGGAGGTATTCGACCTCACCTCCACACGGGATTGTCCGGAGACTCACTGGCTAATTAACTCTCCGTTTATAACTTCAAGGCGAACTGAATATAAATCACCAATTCGAAGAATTCTTCTATTTTTATCTGTTTATCCGTTGCTACGAAACGTGTGTCAATCTCGTGACAACGCTTTGATTTCTACATGAGTATTCTTTGCTTCGGATAAGTTCTTTTTAGTAAGCGGTTGTCTAGCAATGGACTAATCCGTTACAATATACATTATATATACTACAGACTACATTATATACTATAATGAGTTGACTTTTTATCCACTGGTTAACATTGTAGCCATACGAATTCAGCGAAATAACTAACAATATTAGCCAATAGATAAAAACCAACACATTACCGTATATTATTTACTCTACAATGTATATAATGTATAACAAGCCGATGAATCCTGTCGGTTTACGTTTACATTTATGTAACGTACACGTCAAAACATTTGTAATTAAAATTGGACCTGAAAATGTCACAGGCGCGCCCAAACTTGTCGTCGTAGGTAGCAATTCCAGCTGTCGAAAGTAGTGTAGTGTTGACAGGAATACAATAAATATTATCTACAGTGACTTACACAATAGAATGCAACGAAGTATGAGTGAAACACTGAGTAGATGCTTATCTTTTGAATCTTGTGACAGATCTTGTTAAGACTTAATGTAACACTTATATTATACGAGTATCATCTGTATCAGTTTAATTAACAATAACTCACTTAAGTGGGAACTTTCCTTAACAACGTAAATGTACCCACACTGTTCCTTTTAGTGTTCCGATGCACGTTGATGAAATTGTTATGATCTAGACATGTTTTGATAGGATTAATTTTCCCAATATATATGGAGTTAACAAGTATGTCACTATCAAAGTGTATCTTATTTACTGATTATGTTGACTATCTTGTTCATTGCTTATGTTGACTACATGTTACTAAAATGCGACATGTTCCAGTCTTACAAGACCATCATAAAAGAGAACTTCACAAATCGCATATATAAAAACAAATGAGCCAAGGTCTTTACTTTTGTTAGTACATGAACAGTTCAACACTTCACCTGCCAGGAGTCATAACAAAGGCATGGGAATTTACGTTATCGAAAGCAATAGAAAGTGAGTATCGCACAACACAGTAAGAAAGAGTGCAACCAGCGCCAAAGCAATAATTACAACCCACTCCACTATATTTTAACATAACACCAGTTTCAACATTACGGGAGATCTCTTTACCAGACATTTAAACATTTGACTTTATATGAGTGACTAGTAGCGTCTTCTTTCAATGAGGTACACCTCCCTGATGGTGGTCTAGTAAGAACGAAATATGTCAGGGTTTCAGTAACATGTAAGTAGTCAACATGAGCGACAAACAAGACACAACACTTGGATGATGACTTACATCTTAATTTCATCTAGAGATTTATATTATAATTGCTGGCTGTGATTTTCATTCACTTTAATTTTAACACTTTACATCCTGATCTTATTTAGAGACACTTTATTTTGATCTGATATTCCCACGGTAACGTCCGATTTCTGTTGTTAATTTTAAGTTTAAGGAGATAAAGTGGCAAATCACTGATCTGAAACACAAAATAAATTCCGGTCATAAAGTTACGTGTATCCATAAATACATACCTGCACGTTATGTCTCAAATAACCTTTGATTAAGACTAACTGTTTCGGAAAGGCCGCGCCATAGCTCAAGCGGTTGGTCGCTGAATTCCCACCGCGGCGGCCCCGGGTTCAATCCCGGGTCTGGTCAAGTGGGATTGGTGGTGGACAAAGTAGCGTTGGGGCAGGTTTTCTCCGAGTACTTCGGTTTCCCCTGTCAATCTTCATTCCACTAATTGCTTCACAATCACCCTCACCTATCATCTGGGGCTGGTACAATTGGCCAGAAGTGGCCGCAGTACAAGGGACTTAGTCCCACCCCACTAGCAATAAAAGAAACGGTTTCGGAAAAGTTACTAGCACAACAGCAAAACCTATTAAGTGTGCGTTATCGGGCTTTGAAACAGTCCTACCACGTAATTCTGCAGCACACAGCAGACGGCAGGCAGCAGGCAGTCGTAATGTGTAAGCAAAACTAATGTTTTTAATACCACACAAATTGTGTATTTTGTCTGTTATGATGATTACAGTGCATACAGCTACATATGCAACACAAAGTATGAAATTATTTTTGTGTTATTGGATGATGAAGGTCATTTAAGGAAAAGGAATTCTGAACTTGGCACACGTTCGACGGGAATAAAATGTCAACATACGGCCGAATGCTGTTTAGAATACAAATACAAACGCTGCTGGGATGAGGAATATTCCATTTGGTCTACGCATCAGACTGTCAGTGTGTCTTAGATTTGCATGAATGAGTACGCCTTCTTGCAAGAAAGAAACCGAAAACTAACTGCAGCTTTTCGTGCGTGCTATGATGCATTCAAGGGCTGAAACTCAGCCGACCACAAAGACCAAAATACTCCTGCGATATTTGAAGTCGTCATGGCTTTGACTATCATTATTAGGCCTGTCCTGTGGTACGTGACTCCTTGAATTATGGTAGATCTTTGCTGACATTTCGAAGGGACGTTCTACTTCCATCTTCAGGGGCATAAAAATAATTCGAGTAGGGGAAATGCGATATGGATACAGGAAGAGAGCCTAGCCGGAACCGAACAATCTTCTTCCGGCTCCGGCATCCATTCTTTCTATATCCGTATTATTCCACGCTAGGTTTACTCCTCTACACTGAAGATCGAACGAGGACGTCCGTTCGAAAAGCCCGTGTATATGTACCAGGTAACAAGACTTCGCGGTAACGCTATAGACTTGTACTCAGGAGGTGTTCGGTGGGAATTTCGTCTGGGAACGTGGCTATCCTGATTGAGGTTTTCGTGGTACTCCTCAGTCCATCAAGGCCGGTATAGCAACTCCTTCCAAGTCGTTTACATTTATTATTCGCTAATTAATGTCAGGTATGAACAGGATCTCAAAATAAACTACAAAAAATGCATGGAATCACAACCAAAAAACAGCAGAGTTCTAAATATATGCAACTTTTAATGAACCAGAGTGTTGAATAGTATGTTGACAAAGGCTTGTCATTGAATTCAAACACATCCACGCTCTATTCCCTACGATACTTTTTAATATTATCCTACGATATACACGTACTTCTATGTCTCAAAGGTCTTAATTTCTATTTAATTTAGCCGACATTGACTTAGTTTTTATTTGTTATTTGCCTCATATATTAGTTCCTATCATCTCCTCACTGACGCTACTAATGTAACAATATTACGCATGGAGTACACGGTATTAAAATCCTCATTGTGCTTCTACCTAAATTCCTCTGTCTTACCTCCAAACATTTTCCTCAACACTTCGCTGTCAAACGCCCTACATATTCCTTAGTGACAGACCATGTTTTACATCCAATAATGCTGAGTATTCTGATAAAAGCTGAGAGGAAACTTGATATTATTATGGTGATAACATTATTGAAAACAAACAAAATACTCACTTTCGCGTGTAGAGGTTAGTATGATCTCGTAGGACATGATTTCATTGATGTCAGCAGCTCAGTAGAAACTTCCACCGCCTGTGGAAGGCAAACGCTTACTGTACTGGATAGCCACCGAAGTTACACAACAAGATAACCTAACTGGTTGCACACAGATTGGACAGACTGATATAGCGTAATCAGTGACTTCTCACTTTCTGATTAAGAGTAAATTGAATATGAGAAATAGCCAATGGTTGAAGGTTCTTTTATATTTGCGTAGAGGCACAATATTTTCATGACCTTCAGTTAAAATAAACTAACATGGGACTATAATTCTTCCGTTCATTTGCGATATCTTGCTTCAGCAAGTTAAGTACATCCTTCCTTCTTTTAGTACTCGTCGACTTGAAGAAAGCAAACACGTCAAAAAGGCCATAAGGTGCTGCACGAAACTTGCTACACACCGCAATGACACTTTGGAATAATACAATTACAATGCAAATATTCCTTGAGGGTAGGAAATATACAAGTACTTAACTAAGTTTTTTTGCAAACAATGCTGACTTAGGATCATCTCTGAAGCAAGTATAGTAATGAATATTCAGCAAGCATAATCTGAGGTTATAACAGCCGTAGTTATGAAGAATCCTATTTTCTGAGACGTGTAGTCCTTTGAAATTTAACTGATGTTTCGGAGGAACATGTCGCTTCCATCTTCAGAACTTGCTATCTACTTCATGATGGTTTCTTGCCTGGCTTATTCTTCGACCCTGAAGATGGAGGTGACCTATTCCTCCGACATATTGGCGGGCTTAAACGGACTAAACAGAATTATATCCTAGAAGATGGGACTCTTGATATTCAGCAAGTTAGAAAGTTTTATTTCCCACGAAAATTCCTTCTTCTTGTTCCTAACACTTCATTTTGCTTCTATTTAATGCTTTAGTCCTTTGTGGGATGTCCGTGCTTAGAAGTACCCTGCGTTAATAGTGTATACTTTCACATATGATGTGCTTGCGTGACTAATAATAACGGGTTCTGATTTGGTCGACTGAATTTATTGGCACTTCTTCACAATTACAATCACTTACAAGGGCTAAAATCAATGCCTGTCTAAGACTCCCTCCATTCCTTATTGGACTACGAATGTTTTCTCTTTTCTTACGACTGAATCATCGAACTCCCTTACGAATACCAAATGAAGACTCTCTCGATTGGAATCTCACGGAATGAACTAACTTCCAGGAGAACCGACTATAGATCACTGGTCTTACAGTTCCTCTGTTATTCCATTTTTCTGTGTTTATTCCTTGCAACGGGAATATGCTTACNTACATTTACACAATTCACAATTTCCCAACTACTGCCATCGGCAGTATCACAAATACGAGTACTTCTGCTGGAGTCACTGCCATTCACTCGATACAACCCGACTCGGCGACTGCTAGATTGCAATTGACTGGTTACTCCGGTAATCCTCCTGTTGTGTAGCTTCCGCACTGACAACACAGAAAACAGTTACGTGATAGCTACCGCTGTTCCTAACGTCGTGTTTACAGGCGTTGCTGGGGAACGCTGCCGAAAGTTGTTTTTTTCTGCGTTTAATACAGCAGTGTCCACTGTCACGTCACCACAGGGGAGGGGGACGGAGTGTTTACTGGCCTGTTACCGTAGTAGCGGCAGTTGCTCCGATGCTGTTACGTCGCCGCTGGAGGGGGGGGTCTTTACCGAGCGTTGCGCCGTCCAAGTCATAATATATATATATATATATATATACACAGCTACGAAGGCCAGTGGCTTAATCGGTAACGTTTCTCACTTGTATTTGGGAGATGACCGGTTCGAATCTCGTCTGGAACACCGACTGTCTTGACTAAGGTCAAATACCGGGACAGTACCTTAAATTAGGTCACGCACGATCTTTCGGTGTCCGTCTCAATTTATTATTCACTATCATCCAAGCATTCGACGCTAAAGAGTCTCAGTTTCATTGTTAAATAAATTACAAAGAAACCTCTCCTCTTCTTTAATTTTCCTTCGTTTTAAAAATATATCCCTTTATGGTCCAATATTGTGCATGTTTTCATATGCGCTTAAATGCTGATAGCACTTAAAATTTTCATTTCCTAATAATGTAGTACAGTATGTAGACCCGTTACTAGGCAAAGACCGTGGAACAAGCAAATCTCGGAAGCCGTTACTGTTACTGAGTAACGGCTTCGCAAACAAATAGGTTCCAGAGGCAACAATTGGACTACAACGAAGAGGCGCGGCGTTTTCTACGCAGTCCGTGCCAAAGTTTTATAAGCGTGACAAGTCTAGAATTTAGTCAGTTGAGTTGGAGTCAGTCAAAAGAGTAGGAGGGTGGTGTTAGATAGCCGTCAGCCTGGGAGTTGGCACAGTAAAGTGCAGTACAGGAAAATGGAGGGTTGGCTGGCGAGTTAGGCGGGGAACTGCAACTTAGTCGTTGTGAGCTGTTGCTGTTAGAAGCTTGTAGCTGAGGCACGGGGATATTTCGGGAACACATGGTTAGGGAAACATAGTCCGTTGGAAGCCGTTACCGAGCAACGGCTGATGAAGACACACCAGAATGAAAAGACTTCTTGCTGGCTAGTGATTTATAGAAAGTGTGAATTAGCGATAGCGCTATAGTTTCTTGAAGTTAGGACCTGTAAGTGGTCAATAAATCCAATTACCAATCAAACCCCGTCTATAGTCACACTCATACACGTCACAATACGTCTTGCCATTAGATTGCAGCTGTATTGCGCCGTATTGGCTCTTTCTTCTTTCTCATGAAACAATACTAAAACAAAATTATTTTTTTAATATTCGCCATATAAAGGGATGCTCCCAGGAAGTCTAAAGAAAATTACTTTATTTTGTTTTATATTTCGATTGTAAGTTACAACTTCTGGTTACACAATGCTGAAAAATTGTTGTTTGTAAATTAAAAAAGATGATAGGGCACTTTTCAAGTCAATAAATCTCGCCAAAATTGCAGAAAAATTTCTGCTTTAAGGACAAAAAGAAACAAACAAACATTTCCAAAAATGTTCCTTTTTTTTCTAACAACATTTTACACGAGTATTAAATGAAGACCGTATGTTAGGAGCAATATATTGTAACGTATCGTGCGTGTATAACGCGACAAATAACTTCACGCCGTATTTTATATAGCGAATTTTATTTCACATTCGCACTTACAATCACCCAAATTACAGATTTACGATTACTGCTATCTGCAGTATCGCAAATACTACACTCCAAATGCCACAATGCAACTGACTAGTTGCTGGCTAACTCGGAACTAACTCGGAGGTAGCTCGAGGACTAACTCGTAGGTAGCTCCAGGACTCACTGTGAATAGCCTTCGCTGCCCCTCATGTAGCCTCGATCGGACAATACAGAAAACGGCCACGTAATAAGTACCCTTGTTGCCTGGCGCTGTGTTGCTAGCAACGCTAGCGGTAGTAACCGCTGTTACTACCGTCGTCTCTCGCAACCCTGTTGCGTCTCCGTTACGTTACCGTGCGGTGGAGGGGGAGGGGAGCGCTGACTCACCCCGCCACGTCACTGCTGGTGGGGGGGGGTTCTCCTTTGCGCAACATGTCACAATATATATACGGCGGTCGAGCTCACCTTTTTGGTGGACATAGAATAGATTTTTCTCTGCAAGCCTTTTAACAATGGCGTAAAGAAAAAGGTAAAACTATCCCTGCCCTGTAACAGTCCGTGGAAGTGCATAGGGTTGTGAGAAGTCGAGACTCCCACATTTTCTAGACAGTCGGCTCATAGATGGCGGTGAGGTTGTCAGCCTTACGCGCCGGCCGTCTTTTATTCCCTAGGAAGATTGCTGGTACTTTTTTCTGTTAGAGCCTGAGTCGACCCCATGGTCATATTGCGGCAAGAAGTACGAGTATATGGTTAATTGAAGAATCCAGTGACCTAATCGGGAACATAATCCGCGACCTTCAGGCTTGTAGCATAACGTACATAACCTACACGTATAATATTTTCATATCTTCGTTACTGTGCTAATTAAATGAATAAGAACACGGATCAATATAAAGAAACAGAGTTGTTATCAGAGACCTCACTCGCAAATATGAAAACCCACAAAGCAGTATCTGCTTAATCACTTCCATTAATTATCATCATAATAATCAAGTGACACTGTAATCCGCAGCTGTGTTTATTCGTATGATTTATCATATCACGAAGTTAACATTGCTGACTAACAAGGATTACGAGATTATATATATAATAAAGTAGGAGATAATTACTAAGTTTTACGTATCTCAACGTACTATGCACCAACTTATGGTTTCGTTTGAGGGTGGACTAGGAAAATGAAGGGTTCCACTTTGCACTTCAGCTGCAGTAGATCTTTCCTGAGCCGCTTACTACTGCCTCTCCTGTAGATGCTGAAGTTCCCTCCATCTGTCTTCACACTTAGCCCCCTTGACTTTGTTGCTGTGAGGAGGTGAGAGGTCTGGTATTGGGCGCCAGCAAGCACGGAGTATTGGTTGGAGATATTTTTTTTATTGCTAGTGGGGTGGGACTAAGTCCCTTGTACTGAGGCCACTTCTGGCCCATTGTACAAGCCCCAGATGATAGGTGAGGGTGATTGTGGAGCAATTGGTGGAATGAAGATTGGCAGAGGAAACCGAAGTACTTGGAGAAAACCTGCCCCAGTGCCACTTTGTCCACCACAAATCCCACTTGACCAGACCCGGTGGGAAGCCAGCGACTAACCGCTTGAGCTATGGCGCGGCCCTTGGTTGGAGATGAGTGGATCTACTCAGGCTTCGGTAGGCTTCAGATCCTATGCCAGGGTCTCAACAGGCCTTGCTCCGGCAGGCAGGAAGGACACTCCAACACACACTCTTGCCCACAGTAACAGCAATGGTCAGCATTTGATTGGTTTGTTGAAGAGCACTGAAGACGAATTACGATTATTGTCACACTGATATACCAATCACTGCCGGTCCTATTTAATAATGTTACACTCTTAATTATAGTTTCCAAGTTGAAATTATGGTCGGAAGTCGCGCAATGATCGCTTAGTAATTTAAAATGCAGGACAGTCTTATGAAATAAAAAAAAATCAAAATCTGATTCAGAAGGAAAATTAAGAGGCGAATGAACTCGGGTAATGCTACCATTCAGTCCAGAACCTTTTGTGTTCTTGTCTGTTGCCCAAAAACATAAAAATTAGAATATACAGAACTATAATTTTGC